TCACAACAGCGTGTGTTTTTGTTTTTTCTATGTATCAAACGAAGCGTGGAGCGGAATACGCTTCGACGCGGATTACCCGGAGCGCGCTGAAACGCTGCAAATTGAGAGAGTAATCCGTAACCGATGGCGCGGGATAATGAACCCGCGGAGTAATCGACGACGCGGCAACGTCATAAGCGAACGTCATTCCGGGCCGGGATTCTCACTGCGAGCGAGCGCAACGATGAGAACGACGATAATGATGTCAATGGCAGCGTGCCGATAATATCGTAGTCGCCGCTAATAAGCGACTTCCTCGAACTGCGAGCTTCTCTCTGTTTTCATGCAAATCACGCGGCCGTAAACGCGGCGCATCACGGCCCGAGAAAACTTAAATACAGCCCGACGCGCTCGCGGAGTCCATGCATCATTTTCACTTTATAATCGCGAACAATAAGCGTCCCCGCGTCGATTATATCGACTTGTCGTTTGATTCCTCGGCCGGATCATTAATTCGCCGAGCGTACGAGCGCCTCAGGTCGATGTTAATCGTGGCGCCGACAGCTGTTGTCCGATGATCCCGACGCGATCTTTGCTCATTACTTCAATGCCCCCGATGGTGACGACAATGATTACGCGCGTGTCTTCTTCATTCGCGAACGCTACGTCGTATTTCACAGAACGGCTTTTCCCGATCAATGTTTCGCGTCGTTGTTAAACACGTATTTTGCGACGAGCGTTTCGAATACCCGACGCGTCGACGCGCGCTGCTGAAAGCGATCGCATCGAAGTTTATTGAACGCCCGGCAAGAATCGCGCGCTCTTCTCCTCGAGCTGTGGAATCGAACGGCGCGGGGGGGGGNGGGGGGGGGGGGGGATTATTGGCGTTCGCTTTTGCGGGACTCGCGCGGGATAAATCCCCAGCGGATTGCCAAGCATCTCGGCGGACACTTTACGTTCCTCCTATTTACCGCGATTCTACTCATTACGCGAGTCCATTACGAGCGAGCGAGCGCGAATATCGCGGCGATGCGCTTTCCGCCGTGAGCGGCAAGCTGGACGTCCGGAATGCGAGCGGAACCCGTTTCTATGAGTCAAGCCCGACTATTGACAACAGAGAGAAAGAGAACAAGGGAGAAAGAGAGAGCTGCCCGCGGCCCACGATAGCCGATCTTGCGGTTCTGGATCGTAGCACGCGATCCGATGTATCCTGCAACAGCAACGCCGGAGAAAGAGAGAATGAGAGATAGAGAGGAAGAGAACGGGAGGAGAGGAGGAATTTGCGGGATCGAATCGTGTTACGCCGCGAAGATCGGCTTCGATCGGGGCGCATGGCAGCGTGACGAGATGCACGTAGGATCGCATTTAACGTGTAATTGGTTCACGGACGATGAATAACGCGGATTTTATACTGAAGGGCGAGAGACTCTATTACGGGACTAGGTGTTCACGCACGGACTCTCTCAGCTTCCGTAAGCTGAACGGCGGAATTCAAGGGAGGGGGGCTCCCCCCGATCGATCGGTTTTCGACTCGTCCGTGTCGTTGCGGTCGCAATAACGACGGAAACTCCTGATCGTGATCACTCGAGACGCGGCGAGTCCGAAGTTACGATGGTAATCTTGTAGCCTCTGATACGTACAACGCCGCCGGTTCATTCGATTCGTTCGATTTTTGTCGTCAATAATAATCCGCGCCTTACGGTCTTCGAGTCGCTGCCGCTCTCGGTTCTCAGGATCGGGTATCTACCAGGGTTGTTAATCTTCGATTGTTTTGAAGCTTCGGAGACTCGAAATTCGAATGTGAAAGCCTTCGAAGAAAAACACTACCCCTGATATCTGCGAGGGAGTTTGGCGGAAAGCCTCGTGCGAGAGAGCGCTGCCGAATAAATGCGCGATTGCCAACGGTTCCCGGTAATACGATCGGCGGTCGTAAATTTCTCGATTGGAAAATCACGTCGATTTATCGGCGCGAATGACCGAAACGCGACGCAAGTCGAGCGTCGCGAGGGGGAAGGCTGTAAACGGAAGTAACGGTACCGCGGCGGGAGATACACGAGCGGGCGAATCGATCGCGCTTCCGAGCCGACGAGGCCAGGAATGATGCGCGACTCTGCGCCGATAATTAATGAGGCGAGTGATCGAAGTGCTCGAAGAAGAAGCCAAGATAACAACCAGCAGTCATTTAGATAGGAAAATATTTTTCTACGCGGCCGACGGGAACGCGTTTTTCACGAGCGACACGCAGGCGTCGCGACGCGATCGCAATCGAGTTCATCGATCCGTAATGTCTTCGTGGCTCGCGGCATGCTTGATAAAACATGTATCCATTGTTCATTTAATTATGTTGACAGTTTTTTCTCGGTAGTCGCACCTCGAAAATCGATATTGTGAGGACACCGGATTTTTTAATTCAAAAATACGGACTTAGGTTTAAAGATGTGTTGCCTACAAGTCGGAATAATAAAAAAAAGATACAAATTGATCTATATTGCGTTTAAAAGTGGCATTCAAAGTTCCACAGTAATTCAGATCAAAAGTTATTCCACTTTAAAGGAGATCGTAAGGTGAAATGAATTTGATAAGAATTCGATAAAATCTGCATTGTGTACACAGACAAAGAATAGTCTTAAATAAGCATGATAGATAGCCGACGAGGCCAGGAATGATACGCGACTCTGCGCCGATAATTAATAAGGCGAGTGATCGAAGTGCTCGAAGAAGATATCTTATATAAGCAAGAATATTGTAATGTCCTGAAAAGATTTTTAGTCTTAAATCGAGTGCAAGTAATAATTGCATCAATATAAATTCAATTGAATTAAAACTACAAATCTTCTAAGAAAATTATAATATTCTTGCTTATATATGAGAATTTCGCTTGATAACTATTAAATTGATGAACGACTCTTCTAATACGCCACTGAAAAGATACGACATTAATGGGCAATACATCGTTACATTTAAGATCGTATTAAATTCATCTTCAGATACCGCAAAGATCGTTTCATTGGCTACAATGCATCTGAAGGTGAACTTAAGACGATCTTAAATGTAAGACCTGACTATGAATAGCGGCCTAAAATTCCAGTCGAGTGCGGATCCTTCGTTCGATCGCGTTTCCCACCCGATCACTCGTGGCCCGGCAGCTCTTTTTACCGCGGCGTCGCAATTAAGTGAGAATTCTCTCTCGAGATCCGCGAGAACAGATTTACGATCGCCATGGAAGAGGTAGAGAGAGGGTTTCGGGTGACCCTATATGCGTTCCGTTAGATAAGCCAGGTAGGCGTGTTTGCCGCAGATATGCGCGAGCTCGCGTGACCCGCTCGTGCCGAGTGAGAGGAAACGTATGAACAACGAGCCCCCGGGAGAGAGAGGCTTGTACGCGGTCATAGAAAGTGATAATAATGCGAGCATACGGTAATGAAGTATCGTCGCGATCTCCTCGCTCGCAGGACGACCGCCGTTGGGTCGTCTTCACTGGCTCGATACATCTGGGATGGGATGGCGTATGCAAAAATCGAATTAATTACACGACGCTCGCACGAACATCGTAACTTGCCGCTGTTAATAACGGCGGTCGTGGTAACGCGTAATTAACGATATAAAATTATCAAAACTCGACGATTTAATAATCTTCGAGAAATCTTACGATCCTGAAGGAAATTCTTAATAGAGAAAGAGAGAGAGAGATTCTCGGAGATTCTCCTTTATCCCAGAAAGGAGTATCATGGGAAATTAATTTTAATTATCCTGGGAAAGTAATTTTCATTTTAATGGATTAATTATTCATTACTCTATTAGTAGATAATATTAATTCAAAGACACCTGTCCCGTTAAGGCTGTGTTTTCCTTTTATCGAGTGATCATCGACATATGTGTGTGTTAGCGCACATAACGCGAGTGGATCCTTTAACAGTGAACTTCCGGCGGATAAACTTCAGCCGTGGAAAAAAGGCGAATTTGAATGCCGCAACGACGCGTGGAGTTCGTCCGTCGCGATTGTTTCGCATTCGAGACGCCGACCGGATCGCCCAGTTTTCCCTCGCGACTCCGCTTATCTCGCACGGCCGGCAATTTGTCTTGGGATTCTTCGCGTCGCGATCAGATACGTACACGCGCCGCAGCACGGTGCAGCTGCGCCGACTTTTCCGCGAGCGAGCGAACGGGCGCGTGTTCGCCGAGCGCGCTAAAGGTCATCGTCTGCCCGCTCTAAGTGTTACGCGAACTACCGCGTGCGATCTTTCTAATTACGCCGCCGCGTCCTCGGCCACGCGGCTTTTAACCCCGCCGGTACGCTTCGTCCCCCGGGTCTGCCGCGCACTTACGACGAGAGGTCACGACACGCGACCCGCCGATTCTTCTCGTCTTTTGCGAGCCCGTGGTTGAATCGTGCGATTAAGCGTATAAACAAGAAGGCGCGCCGCTCGCTCGCAACTTGAGCTCGGAGAGGTTTCAGCGTAATGTTGAAAAATAAGTAACGAGCGCGATAATAAACGTAAAATACTCGAGTATTTATTTTTATCGTCAGCAAAAAGAGATTGCAACGCGTTTTTTTTTTTTTTCAGCAAGTTTCGCAACGCATCTCGTATACGGAAAAAGGTTTCTTTAGATTTAATATACGTGTTTGTCTTGGACTCGTTTAATATAAACAACATGATTTAATATCAAATATCATTTTGTTTGAATGAAAATGTTGTTTCACTAAAATAAGTGGTTTGATGGAAAAAAACAGTAATATATATACATATATATATATATATTAGAGAAAATGTTTTGTTTTCAATAACAAACATTTCATTACATATTACATATTAAATATTGCCCCATGAAACAAAGATTCCTTAATATTTTTCTAACATAGTGTTACTTCTTTCAAATAATTTGTGGTATGTAAGATTAATTTTTTTTGTAATGATAGTTGCAACACTTTTCTTTGTGAAATAAACCTTATATCGTACAAATAAATTTTGAAGTACTTTTCTCTCGGTGTATTGCATTTTCAACTGCAATAAATCCTTCTCCCTCTTTTTATAACGTCGTATACACAGTTGTTTTTATCTTTATAATTAGTGTTTTTCGCTGTGAAATGATAAAACAATCGTGTTGCCTGAGCGACGATCCCGGTGGTATCTCGGCGAGGTATCCAAGAACGGCGCGTCGCGCGTTCCCGCGCAATCTGATCGGATTCGTCGCGGAGGATCTTCCCCGTGTCTGCAATCTCCAGGCTCTCCACGCCTTTCTCCGTGCGCGACACGAGCGTGTTAACGCGCGGCGGATCGCACCGTATCGCGCCGAGCGCTTACGAACGGAGATAAACTATTTACACGTTCCGCTCGAAATAACACGTTCCCTCGCCCAACTCGTGGAGGCCACATTCGCGCGTTTCAAATGCGATCTTGTGAGCGTCGACGCGAAGAAATATCCCCCGGGAACGAGGAACACTGCGGCCACGTGGCGAACCGCGCGCGCGCGAAAAGCCGAGCGGAGTCGGCCCGTTTTCCCGTTTGACCGTCTCCGCGCCGCTTGTATCTAACGTTCGTTTTTTTTTTCTTTTTTTTTACGGCCGGCCTATTCCGACGCGAGGCGAACGGTCCATTAATTATTTCCACCGACCTGTTCCAGAGGCACCGCCGGCACCATCTCGGAAGCCATGCTGGCTGACGAGCTCGCACGCACCCGGCGAGGAGGAGACGGTGGTAGAAAGCCGAGCTTGCAACCGCCTTAACGCTCGCACGCGCGCACGCACAACGAACGACCGTTCACATTGTCGTCGTTAAGAAGGCAGAGAAGGAGGAACAGAGAGGTACGCGAGCCGATCATGTCGCGGAAGACCATTCCTGCCTTTGATCTTGAGATCGTTCGACGCGCCTCTCACACAACGTAGCAGCGGCTCCCAGCGGCTCCGTCCGTCCCAAGGCGTGCCTCGTCGGCGCATAGTTCCGCGTTACCGGTCCGATATGTGAGCCGCCGGCTCCATGTGGACGCCGTCGCCATGGTGGAATTAGTGTGCAGCAATTCGTTGAGCCCGGGAACAACGTAGCGTTGGTGGTTGACGGCCGGGAAAGGGACATCACGACGAATGACGTGCCTTTTCGCGGATTCGAGGAAGACCGCACGGTGTATTCGATGCTCGACGACGAATCCGAAGAGAGTGATATCTATTTTGAGATTCTTTTCAAGTGTGTCACGAGAGAAGGGTGAAAGGTGATGTGCTGTTCGGTACGATGAGACCGGACCGCTGCTCGAAGTTGCACGGAAGCCCGGCGGCGAGTTTCGTTTGATGACGTGATGAGGAGAGGTGTCGCGAATTCTGGCCTGACGATACGGACGGATCGGCGGCGAGCTTGAGGAAGGAGTCGCGGTGCTATGACACGACGGACTCGGCGCGACTCGGTAGTCCCTTCCGTCGCGAGGCCGCCGTGTGAGCGCCATCAGCGCGTCCAGACGCTAGAGAAGAGGCCTCACCCCGCGTGACAGCAGCGTGTCGAGTAATGCTGAAGCACATCCTGACGGGGCAGCCGTCGTCAACGGGCTCCAGGCATCATCATAATGACTATCAGACGAGCTCGGGCTCGTTGCACGGTGGCGGGCACCATCATCACCATCACTTGCACAACAACAACAACTCCCTGCAGCAGGAGCAGCAGCCGCAGTCGCACCACCACTACACCGGCAGCAGCGGGACGACACGCGGTGCCGGGGGACATCGCAACAACGGCGTCGACGTCTACGACTCCGTGGTGCAGAGGTCAACGGCGGCGTCGAACGCGCAATCGGCCACGACTCCGTCGTCGACGCACCGGCACCCCCTCAACCACTCCCAATTGAGCGTGAACAACCTGTCGCAACGGTTGAACCACTCGCACGCGCTCAACCTGTCGACCCTGTCCACCTCCAAGCACTCGGTCAACAGCGTCAGCCCGATCGCCGGTGGCAATAATAACAATAACAACAATCATCATAATAATAACAACAACAACGTGTCGGTGAGTCAGCTGGGCCACACGCTGATCTCGCAGACGACGTTGCATCAGGACAGACCGAAGGCGAACGGCGGTTTCGACATCTCCAGGCTGTCGCGGCTGCCGAGTCAAACCACCCCTTCGCCCGCACCTGCGACCGCACCTGCCGTGGCCGGTGGCCCGACGGTGATACCCTTGAACGCCTCTTGGTCGTCGTCCCTCTCCCGCAATCATCATCGCAGCCAGGAGGCCGGAGTGAAGGAGATACTTACGAGCCTCGGCCTGCTGTGCCTGGTGTCTTTGCTGTTGGCCCTGCTCTCGGTCATCTTCCTGCTGAAGATCTCACCGCTCACGGTCACGTCCAACAGCCTCATCAGCCCGGAGGAGTTCGTGATCGTGTACGAGGTCACGCTCGCGCTCTGCGCCCTCGCCCTGTCGCTGAACCTGTGCTGCCTGCTGGTCTGCGCCATACAGTTCCTCTTCGCCGTGAAGCTCGTCAAGACGTCGTACCAGGGTCACCGGTAAGTCACCTCCACTTCACCGTTTACTTTCTGCGATGTCTTCATTTCAAATATCATTCTATTTGTAAGAAAAACTTGCCTTCCGCGTCGGAAACCAAATTCATACTTTTCAAATATCGTTTTATCGTCCATGTAGTAACTGCGACAGCGTAAAATTTGCAGTCCGAGCGAAATATTGTTTCTTCGTGTGGATCGCAATTCATTACACTTCACGGGTAAATCTCTTACTCTAACATTATTTCTCTAATCGCATCGCGGGCAAAGCTGCGCATGCGAGTCCGCGAAGCCTCTTTCGATTTTATCGCAACTCCCCGAAAGGATGTTTCTCTCCACGGCGGAATAAGCGAGCCGCTCGCGAAAGTGATACGCCCGTGCAATAAAAGACCTTTAGACCTTAATAGGGTCTTAAGAAGATTCCGGCTGTTGACGGGCTTATCGCGGAACGGCGGCCAATGACTAATGAACGAAATGAAAAGGGCAGGCACGCACACGGGGCAGGGCCGATGCGCTTGTGCGTGTGCTTTGACACGCTGGAATCCAGTTCGATTATTTTTGAGCTCTAATGGGGGCGACTCTCGCGGCGAACTGAGATCCGCAATTAATTAACGCGGTAAGAAGGCGATATTCCCCGCGCATCTCCGGCCGATTCGGTCGGCGCGCAACAAGGCCCCGCCGACGTGACCTCTGGACTCGCGCGCGGGCCACGACGTTACGAAACCGTTTAAGGGCCGGTTCACACTTACCGCGCATGTAATGCAATATTATATGCGATAAGACTAACTAGGTTTTGTCTATCATTCGTACCTGTGAGAATAATCTTTACTCTCCGAACTGAATTCATTTTCAAGGAAAACGCCGTCACAAAGTCAACGATCCTCACGATCCTTCATTTTGTTAAACGGCGATTATTACCGATATCTGTTCATGATTTACGACAGGTTGATAAAAACTGATTTGTTCGTCTCGTTTCTTACATTTTCACTTTTGTAGAGCTTGAGATTAGATTTGACCTCTTCTTCTCTTTTTAGATCAATTTCGACGGTCTGCCTTGACTTTCGTGCCGGTGTGCGACGGCCCTTAAAGAACGGCGTATCCGTTAAAGTTTTTATCGGGCGCGTCGCGGAAAATTTCGCTCGCGAAATTCCATCCGTGTGGATCGGGCTCTCTCATAATCCCGATCCACCTGAGACACGTAACATAAACGATTCACGCGGGTTTCGACCCGGCGTATCGAGTAGCGCCGATATCGCGGCTAATAACCGCACGGTCAGCGAGGAAAGAAAAATGTCCGAGGGCCCTTTCTACCGCCCGAGACATTATTTTCGGCCGGAACGTCGAAAATTATGCAAACAGCAGCGTGTCTTTGCACGAGACGGAGAACACGGGCCGAGGCGACGATATCCCCTTGATTACTCCGCTTAGGGCTCCTCAAGTTAGAGTCCGAACACCTCCGACTTTCTGATCGAAAATGACGTCTGATTTGTCAGTAGACATGTTTTATACATAAAGGGTGCTCATCACAGACACATAAAATGAGCATTGCCATTGAAGAGCTGAAGCCAAGATCGAAAGACAAAAGGAGAGATGCGCCAACAGTGATGTTTCCTTCGGATAAGCAAGTTGGAGATGTCCAGATTCTAAATTGGAGAGCTTCGTCTTCGTTTATCGACGAGCGTCTCCGAGGCCGCGTCGAAGACTGCGGTAATTTCACGGCGACGCGATAAACACGCTGCGCTCCCGCGAAACGTAGAAGAGAGACGCGTACTCGAGGAGCGTCGTAAAAACACACGTGTTCCAACGTCCAAGAGAAGTCCGGCATTCAATCAATCCGAGTCTAAATTGCATACGCGCGCGCGCCAAAGTGCCGGTTGCTTAAGCACTCGGGGGGGAAAAAAACGAGGTTTGCACCGATCTCTCGCAAGAAGAAGAAGCTCAAACCTCAGCCTCTCAACGGTCTGCGAACTCTCGCGCGATACGCGTAAGAGCGACTAGAGATAATTACACAGGAAGCGATGAGACTCTCGCGTAGTGGTAGGATATCTAATAGGGTACCATGGCGCTCGTTCGAGCTCTTCCCGCGGAATCGGAGGAAGCGATTTGCGCGGATCGCGGCTTCCTCGGCGAGAGAGCATCCTCCCTCTCTCTCTTTCGCGCGATCTCACGTCGTCGTCGTCGTCGTCGTCGCTGTTGCCGCACCTACGACGTCCGCAATCAAGATCATCCTCGCGCGCCCCGATGGGATGCGCGTTCCCAGTCATCCATGCGTGCATGCGTCCGTGCGCGTCGTACTCGAATATACCGCTGGATCTCGTATCCAGCACGAAGTTGGGGGAGGGGAGGGATCGGTGCTCCGAGACACGATATATCAGCGTGTCTTATACCGGGCGTTTCTTCTCACGGGGCGAGCGTGCGCGAAACGCAAAAATTCACGTCGCTCGCCTGTGTGTGTGTGCGCGCACGCACGAATTGCACGCAACCGTACGCACGCACACCCGCGTAGAATCGGAGCGAGACGCAGGTGCGTAGATCGTGATGTCGCACTGCCCTCCTTCCCCCGAAATTACCCTCGTTAAAAGACGCGCGATGCGATCGTCCGGGTGCCTCACGAAGCGTGACTTCTTTTTCCGGGGCACGATATTGGGCGGTCCCCGTGTTACACGGGTGTACCTGCTGCGGGCTTCTGCTGCCGAATGGGATTTCGCGATGAAGGCCGAGGAGCGTGAGAGATGCGAGACTTCGGACTGCGAAGCATGCGACTCTTGCTTGTTTCTTTTTCAACGCGAAAACCACGAAGGAAGGTGTTTTGCTCGCGCGGCAAATTGCCGGCTTTACCGTGGTGACAGCAAGAAGATTCGTTACGTGGAAAAAAAATAGTGACTGACTATTTGCTGTGCCGGAAAAATATTCCTCTCCGACGAATCTCGAAATCTTTCAATGCACCGATATGTCGGGAGTGGACGTTTCGCAGCGAATTCTTAAATTTTACACAAGTTTGTCGAGATATATTTAACGCCGCGAATTTTAATCGTTTTTTTTTTTTTTTTCAATCCTGAAGTGGTCGCGTGGATGACGAGTGGATCTTATATATTTGAACTAACGCTTTTTTCCGTGTACCTTTCGGAAAATGCATTTTAGTGCGCATGAATAACATCTATCACCTGCGCGATCACTGTAGAGCTAAGAAAGAGATTCAGAACTGACGTCGCTAAAAAATGCTAAATGGTATGATACATTTTACTGAAATATTTCTTGTCACTTCGTGATTATGTTGCGTGATGAGAGAAATCGGTATGTCGGGGATGAGCGAATTCGCAGCGGACTCTGAAATTTCACACGAATCCTTCAAGACGGGGTTGGAGCACACGTATGCTGTAATCACGAGAATCCTTGAAACGGACTCTGCGTTTCCTTGCGCGGGCCCAGACATTCTCTTGTTTCGTGTACCTTATCGCGCGGATAGCGGATGCTTCCTCCCATTTTATCCTCTTTTGCCATCATCGACAAGTCACTCGACCCTCGGCCTTCTCCACTTGCCAGCCTCTCTTACAAGGTTTTTACTTCTGGATGGTATCTAGGGAGAGATTGCGTGTGGCGCGCGGAGCGGCCATAAAACCCAAAACTTTTAAAGGAGATCTCAGCCATCTAGGAAATTCCTCGAATACTCCGAAAATACTTACGCTCGCTGCGGAGACATGAATAGTTTGTCGTGGACGGAACCTGTTTTAATTGAGTTCTCTTCTCGCGGAGAGACAGCGTCTGTATTTTTAGCTTGACTGCCTTATCGGAATTATCATCCCGAGGAAACCGTTTTTCCGCGATGAATGTTTCACCGAACAAAATGCTCCTACATAGCTGCGTACCATCTAGTTACTTGAGTCATTTTTTGCCACTTGACGAGTCACTAAAAAATTCACTATCGTCTAAAATGGATCACTATGGTCATTCAGAGTTGTCGCAGACTTAAGAAACCGGGGGAAATCGGGAAAAACCATGGAAATTAAAAGATATAAAAAAACCTGAAACTTGGAACTTTGCTCACAATTCCTTTAAATGCTCTTAACTATATTCTTTTTTTCTAATATTCATTTATTTTCTGCCTATTGGCCTGAATTTGTACTCAGAATTATATTATGTGATTAAACTTTTAAATTTGTGCTGTTTCTAATAATGAGTTATCTTTCCTGCAATCCTTGCTTCTAAACGTTAAAGTTAAAAATTACATATTATTCATAGAAAATTCAACACTCTCGTCTTGAAAATGTGGAAAAGTCAAGAGATTTTAAAATTCATTTTCTGTGCCAAACCTGCCATCTTTCTCCCTGAGTTGCCGTTAAATTTGTAAAATATAGACGTTCTACATATACTTTTGCCGTCTTTCTTAATAAAATTGCTCCGAAAAATTGCTTTTGGTCTTGTTATAAACTTTCAACCATACTGTAAAAAGAGTTCGCTATATGTTAAGTTATCCAAAGATAAGCCTGGGAAGATAAGAATAAAAGAAAATATTACTTTTTGCCTAAATGGCCTTAGTTAATCTCAAAATTGGACAAAAATGTCACTTTCGGTCTGTATTTTTATATCTTTTTATCACTTTTCTTTGCTAAGAAACAGTCACTGTTGCACTTTTTTGTTCCGGTGATTGGATAGCAACGCCGTACATAGAAGTATGCCACAGTTACAGAAATGATTATGTCAATCTCCGTGCTCGATCTCCGTCTTTTTCCTGATGAAACTGTACCGTTCGCCTACATTCGAGAAACGCGCTCGATTATTCTTTCATGAGTCTAGGCACAGGTCGGGCTATAAGGTTTCGTGATAGCGCAGGTTAAAAATAGCGCGCGGCCCGATCGATCGTTGCGCTTATCAGCCGGCACGGAATATCGTTTAGAGAGGAGCCGTTAACCCGTCACCTACATTCAGTTTGTGTTGTGCATTCGAGCGTCGTCGTAATCTTATCATACCCTTCCGTCCGCGATCCCAGTCCTGCCTGTCTGTCGTTC